CAGCCCAGCCTCCGCCCGCCGGCCGCTGGCCACCGGTGCCGGCTCCCGCTGGTCGGGAGGGAAGGAGGAGGGAGCAGGGGTGGAGAGCAGTGATGTATCTAACGTAAAGCCTGATTAATTTCCCATAGTCCCAGTCAGATCTGGTAGGGACACACGCACTCCAGTGAGACACGCCAGCACACACAGTGACACACACCCACGTGACTTACACACATCGGCTCGCACACACCAAATCACAAACGTCCCTGCGCTATGCGTCCGCTGCCCACCACACCCCCACTGCCTCCCGTGTATCTCCGGGATGATGGCCTCTAAGATATCGGTGTAACAGGACAGCCCAGTGGACAGAAGGGGCCACTGTCCCCAAGCCCATCCCCAGACTTCCGATTACTTCTCTTTAAAACGGTGGGAAAAGGTGGAAGAGTCTGGCCTCACTTCTCTAGCACAAGGAGACAGGATCCCGAGGTCAGTGGGCCTGGCGCTCCAGCTCGGTGACAAGGAGCATGTCCTCTCTTGCTGGGTCTGCGTAGAGCTCAGAATGGCTACTGTCTGGCCTTCAGAGTGGCCACGGGATGGAAGAGGGGGTGGAGAAAAGGAGATGGAGAAAAAGAATGAGTATGAGTCAGCCAAGGATGGAGCCCAAGCCAGAGAGAGAGAATGAGAGGAATGTGTGTGAGAAGAGACAGGCAGGGAGAAAGGGACAGAGACACAGCCAGAGAGCCAGCGGGCGGGAGGAAGTGGAGACTGAGAGATGCTCAGAGTGCTGGGGAGTGGGCTGCAGAACGCGGGAGCCTACAGGGAGCTAGCTCGTCTTGTTTCCGCAGTGTCTGGCCCGGGGCTGTCAGGATTAGCTTTAATTGCTCTCCCCTTTGTGGTTAAACACTCCCGTTGGGGAAGTTGCCAGTGATGCCGCTGGGCTTCCCTGGTGCCTGCTTCCTCACTAGCGTGACACCTGTGCCCATTGGTGTGTGTGTGTGATCATGCGGGAAGAAGAGGGCCCCAGACCCAAGAGCAGCGCAGTGTGCTGAGGGGCATCTCCGGCGTTGGTAGGCAGCCAATCGCTGCGTCCCGGGCCCATCCCACCAAACTTTTGCAGTGGGGCGCTCCCCCACCTTCCTGTAGGAGCTCAGAGCTCTCAGCTGGGCACCCTGAGTCATAGGACCCTGAAGTCCTAAGTATTCATGGCTACTACCAGGGGGGAGGGTGAGCAGGGAAAGCTGGAAGGCAGCACGGCCCACTGAAAGGCCAGGGAGAGAGCAGATGGATGAGGAAGAGGTGGGCAGGGAAAGCACAGCCTGCTAAGTGGAGACTGCTCTGTCCAGCCCTTTGCAAGGCCAGCTCTGTCCTCGTGCCCCTGTCTCGGGTATGGCCCTTCCCTTAGACTAAAGGCGGAAGGCACCACCGCACTTCCCATGCCCAGGCATAATTTGTTTTGCTTCTTGAACTGAATTATTTTGGGGCACAGGTGTCGTGCCTCCCCTCCTCAGTCCCAGGTGACCAACGCTGAGGCCTCAGAACCCTCTTCATCATAAGAATCATCTATCCCCCCAGCTGGATAGAAGCTTAGGGAAGAAGTCCATTGAGTTATGATATTAAAGGAAAGAAACTAAGCCCTGATTGAAGTAGGGTGCAGATACTAAAATGGGGCAGTTGGAACCCTACTCTCCCTCTACCCCCAAATTCAGGCAGACTGACAGCCCTGCTAGCCTGGGAGCCCCTCCTGCCCACGGCAGCGCCCCATGCTGCTGCCGCTGTGTGGACAGCCCCTCCTGCAGCTTTAGGCAGCTGCAGCAGATGTGCAGGAGGGGCAGCAGGCCTAATCCTCAGGGCTTCCGTCTCACTTCGTAAATGGACTGAGGATTTGGAACCAAATGGTAGGGAGAGGGGATAATCTACCATGAGCCAATGTCAGATGACGGACATTCTTTGGGTGCTGGCACCTCCTCCACAGGTGGTCATGCCTTCTAGCCAGGCTTCTGCCCCAGTGCCCAAGGTCGGCACTCACCTGTCACCTTCCCAACTCCTAGGCCAAAACGCACAGGGCGTGTAGCCGATCCTGGCCTCCTGCCCTCCTCCCCAGCATCCTCCACTGTGCGACTTTTGTCAGGACTCCACCTGGGGCCAGCTTGGAAGCAGAGGGAGGGAGGGAGGGAGGGAGGAAGGAAGGTGTGAGGAAGCCGTGAGCAGAGCAGAGAATGAGCTGGGAGGGAAGGGGACTAACTTCCTGGCAGCCTCGGCCGGCTCCGGTTCCGGTTCCTGCCCTGGTATCCTGTCCCAAGAATGGCCTCCTCCCAGGTTGCCTGCCTTTCTCCGGGCAGCCCTCCGCACTGCTGCAGGGACTGGGAGTTGTCACCACAGGCCCGAAGGGACTCTGACTCTCTCGGGAGGAAAGTGGCATGGCTACTGTGGCCAGACCTGCCCAGAGACTAGTTGTCCATGAGACCCGAGAGCCATATGTGAGGAAGAGTCCATCTCCCTGCACTCCCAAAATTCCCCCAAGCTGCCCTGCCCTTGCCCCACTGCCACACCCAGACCTGGGCACAGGGGCTTCTCTGACCTGGGAGGGGAGACCAGCCTGCCTTTCCTTGCTCCCTCAGAAGCATCTTCCTGTCCCTTCTTACTCACCACCCTCCCCGCCCTCCCATCTAGTGGTATCATTGTCCTGACAACTGGGGGGGGGGACACCCAGAACTGAGGTTGCCATGGTAACAGCTGAGCTGAGGCTGCAGCCTTCCTGTGGACTCTCTGTGCCTCCTCCCCCCACCTTTACTGTCT